GAAAAGAAATACTCTCTCTCTCTCTCTCTCTCTCTCTCTCTCTCTCTCTCTCTCTCGATCAGTCCATACAATACTAAATATAATTTCTACAAACATTATATAGCAAAAAATATTATGCCATATTGTGCAATATCGTCGACAGCTGTTTAATTTTCATTTTATTTGTAATTTAACAGAATAATTCTAACTTTAATTCTGCTGAGAAAATTGAGTATGTCGCGAGAACAATTCTGAGAAAACGAATTTTTCGATTATACATATGTTCGAAAACTTCGGAATTCATTTCAACGATTAATTTTAATCCTTCTCATAAAATTTATATTTCATGTTAATCTCTTAATGGAAAAATCGTTGCGAGCATAAAATATGTAATTTATATTAATTTTTCTAATAAAGAAATTTTATCAAAAATATTTATATTCCAGAGCAATTCTTAAATAAAAAAATTTTGTTTCTAGATAAAGGCACGATGCGAAAATTTATTTTTTATTTATTTCATGTTCTGCACTTTGAGCTCGGCTGCATTTCAATCGCAATCCGATCTCTGTCTGATAATAAGGTGTACCCTAATAAAATTTATATAAAGTATCTCATGAATTAAAAATCCAATTCTCCGAAGTTGATAACAATAAGAAGAATCTTTTGTCGAGTTTTGTATTTTTCGTCCGCCAAGAGATTCGCGTTTCTCACCGCGCGCACGAAGTTCGCACGATAATTTTTCTGCGACTGGCGAGGCACAATCCTGTAGAAAGGAAGAGAAAGAAACGATCGATATCCCATCGTCGGGAAAACAACATCGGGTTGTATTTGCAAAGTTGAGAAGCTTGGGCGAAATCGAGAAACGGTATCGTGTGCGTGTTTTATCTCGCCGATAAATCGATCGCCACTTTACTCGACACTCGTTCTAGTCTCGCGATCGGTCTTATCCTCTGCTCGCAAGCCGCTTTGGAGCTGCTGAAACGGCAGCAGAGAGCGCGAGATAATAAAGAAAACTGATAAAGAGAACGGTGTCTTCGTTTTCTTTTAATTGTGCCGCACTGCGATTACAAATTGTCCGCTACTCGTGTTCGCGCATTGTTCGCACTCGGATCGATTGATCGATCGATCGGTCGTAACACCGAAAGAAGAGACCGAAAGAAATTCACGAATTATTCGATTAATGCGATTTCGAATTAAATATGGATATTCACCAGGAACATGCGTTGCGTCTGCCACATACCACAATTGATAAAAAAAAATTATATAAAGGGGTCCGATAGATTTCTAAACGTTGCGACACACTTTGAAAAATTGCAGCGTTAAACGGAGAATTTTATCAATTTATTTCGGATGTAAAAATCTTGGCTTACGCTAATCATTTCTAAGATATCGCGATGCAAATTCAAAACTTCGGTATTCCCTACGGTCCCGATAACGTTCCTATAGACGATCTGTGTCGTATGCACGCAACGCGTAGTAGCGAAAGCGTTGATAACACGATTCTAAAGAAGGCTCTGTGTGTACTTGTGCAATTAATTTTTATTATCGTCAAACTTATTGACACTTTCATGACCGATGACGTCGTATTACGTTACTGTTTTCAAAGCTGGCGGCGGCACGGCTAACGTAATATCGGGTCTTTCGTGAATTAAGGCTGATGATAAGACGTATAATTTTATTATCAGGGCCGGTCGTTGTGCATCGACGCGCGAGAGATGCGTCGCGCTGAAAGATGGATTACGACATGGGACAAATTTCCATCCGGGAAGCCGGACTTCTTGGAAACGCGCGAGATACGCTGTGCATACATCTCGCAAATAGCGCAAATCGGATTAAGGAGGCGCCGAGAGTCGCTCCGGCGATTTCGCGCGGGCGCTTTCCGCGGAATGCGCGGCCGCTCCGCTGCCGTGTATATTTATATCTCCCCGCGAGCGCTCGGGGAATGACAGTTTCTCTAAAAAAGGAAAAGAAACGAATGACGCTTGAGGGGCGAGAGGGCGTCCGCGGAAATCCGTTTCTCGCGGCTGGTCCACGAGGACGGCGGCGACGACGGAGATGTTTCGCGACCGACGGGAACGATACCCTCGCGATTATATCGTTATCGACGTTGTTTGTCCGCTTCTTTTTTCATTGATTACCGATCGTGAGATTACACGTGATATCGCTTGCGACGCTCGCGACAGATCGATCTCTTACAGATATTTATTTTTTGGCATCGTGTGACGTAATATCGGGTGCTATTATAAGGCAATCCAGTAACATTCGAAAACACGACACAGAAGAAAATTAATTTTAAATCGAGACAAATATTTTATATATAAGCTATATATAAGCTAGAATATAATCTTCTTAAAAATTTTAGTCTTGATTTAATTGAATTTGTATTGATGCCAGTATTATTTTTATTCAACTCAAAACTAAAAATTTTCTATATAAAATTTATAATATTTTTGCTTATATATCTATATTTACATCAATGCAAATTCAATCAAATTAAGACTAAAATTTTTCTAAAAAAATTATTAAAAATTATTCTTCTTCTTATATACTTTTATATACCCTTATATATGAGAATATATACAGTCTTGATTTAAGAGCTAATTTTTTTCTGTGTACGATATTTCAACGATCTATTGCGAATATCGTGCCACTGAGCATTTACGATCAAAAAATTAATCACTAACGTGTTAAATCACGATTTGAAGATGCAACGGTGAAGCTACATCGCGAAGTTCAGTCTCTCACTTTTCCTGAAGCGGGATATTAATTGTTAAAATTGGTGAATTGCCAGCAATTGCGAAAAACGCCGAATGATCATTTTCAGCAGTATCACTTCCCTGAATGTCGGCCGATTCGTTAGAAATCATCAACGACTCGTTCAACGCGATACTTGTTCTCAAACGATTTCAGGGGATCCTAAGAAGAATCGCTACTGCAAGCAAACAGGTCTCAATAATATCTTCTTTTTTCCGATACGTCAATACCGGGTAATGATTCTCCGACGAATGCGGCGAGATAGGAAACTGGAGAATACGACTCGAACGATCTCCGATAGCCACGAAATTGGGCTGCAAATTTTATCACGGCGTAATGATGTTATATAACATCGTTTCATATAATATAATACAATTGTGCCTAAGCAACACCCTCGTACAATGAACTCCGAAACGAGCACGTTACTTGGTATAAATTACAGGCACCGCATCCGTACATTTCTGGAAATTGCAGACGAAAATATCGCAGCATCACAGATGCGTTGTATTCTAAAAATGTCTTGTATCTTTGAAAAAAATAAGAATAAAGTGTAGTTAATTTTTATAAGAAACTTTGTTTTCTAGTTTACATTTAATTATATTATTATAAGAATTAAATGCAATTACAAAAAATAATAAAAAACTTTCCAAGGATGCTTCACGGATAAATTTATTGACACAACCGGTGTGTGTGTGTGTGTGTGTGTGTGTGTGTGTGTGTGTGTGTGTGTGTGTG